TATGGTTCATGGGGTCACGAAGAGTTGGACACGACTTAACGACTAAACAACAACAACAAACGATGCCGCAGATTTGCAGCAGTTGGGCTTGTAGGTGACAAGATTTGGGGCAAAGAGGATAATAACCTGCGCTTAATACATGCACATGCCATGGGGGAAAAGCTCCCCACTGTCTTGCTCACATGCCACCCATTTGTTAAACCACAAGTACACAATTTTGAGCTAAGGGCTGCTGAAAGCCATACTCCCCAAGATGTACGTGGTGTCACAATCACAACTAAATATAGCTAATATGATTTCTTTCAATGTGCAGGTCTTTGAGGGCCATGTGCAAAACTCCCAATGTCAGCCTGGAGGGACCTGCTCACCTGTTTTTCTGCTCACTGTTTTTTCCTTTGGAAAAACAGGTGACAAATACAAAATGTAATCTGGCCCTGAGCCTCCCTCTAGGTGCCACACGACCAACAACCTGGACTCAGTTGAGTGTCCCCAAATATCTAGAAAAGCTAATGGCAACAGCCAGTAATAACTGGAATGTTTTGAAGGCATCCATGCAGAAAACTCTCCTGTTTCACTGGGAGACTCCCCACATGTCTTCAGTTGGCTTACCCCTTAGTCTCGTGCTGAAAAAAACCCTGAAATTATACAAAGGGATCATCTTAAAATATGACATCCCCACCACCACAGCTGACTTACCTCTGTTCTGTGGACCAGCATCCATTTCCCATCATCCCCCTGTTTATAAAACTCTAAAAATGGGTCTGATTTTCCAAACAAATCCTGCAAGAAGAGGAAGAAGCACGTCAAAGGTTGTGCAATTATTTTGGTCCTTCAAACCTGAAGCAACAACGAACAGTTCTTGTAATATTTTCCCTAGGCTGTGATATAAACTCCTGCCCGGCTCCATGCATTTCGATGACCTAACTGCAAGTCTGCCTTTCCTCAATGCAATTAATGTTCTTTCCATGAAGCCAATCACTCCTGCCTATTCATAAAAGGAGATCAATTCACAATCAAATATAAATTCTCCAGAATTTTAATGAGAGAACAGCCTGAGTGGCAGTCACTTTGTCTACTGGAAGAATTACCCAACAGCCATGTCTAAGGAATAAATGAGACAGAATGTGGGAGAGGTGTGAATATCCTCCTGATTCCAGAAAGGAACACACACACATTCATCGAATGAAACAGCCCAGGAGTGTAAAGAAGTGGGAATAGATGGGCATTTGTTCTCCGTTGGCATTGCGAAGCATCCCTCTTTCACTTCTCCCCAACCTGCAGGACAGTGTTCCTTAAACTGTCTGACCCAATTACCCCTTTGCCCAGTCTTGAATAATGTCATTACCCCCACAAAAAAACCATACACTGTTATTTTACACACATCTCAGCAGCAGCAGTCCCCAACGGATCCTTGACTCCCAAACCAGCAATTACAAATTGTTCCATTACCCCCAGATATGCCCAAATTACCCCCTTGGTGGCAATTACCCCCAGTTTAAGAACCACTGCTGTATGAGAAAACAACTGGATCTGCCACAGCATATTTGCCCCGCCCTTTTAAAGGCGATAATAAGCAACTGATGCCAAGAAATGAAAGGATTAATTCCTTCTCCCTACAATAAATTTTAACATTTGATCAGCTACTTTTGGATTGACACTGGAAAACTATTCACTCTCTCCTGGGTCTACTCCAGTCTAGTCTGTAATCCTGATTTCTTGTACTTATTTATGCTAAACTGAGGACAAAGCGCTAAGTAATTAATTTTTGGGGCACGACTCTCCTGCCTTGAAGGGTCTAACAAAGCAGGAGAGCTGTCAAAAGTGAAACAGAGTAATTTTTAATAGAAACTTTTCATAACAAATAATTAACCTGCCACGTGAAAATATCACTCTGCTGAATTAAGGAACCAAGTGTAATTTCCCCTATTTCTCTCTCTCTCTCACACACACACACACACACTCACAAACGCACATAAACACACACACACACACACACTAAAGCAGCTGCCTCCAAGCTGTTGAATGCAGATGTGTTGAGTGCAACTCGCCTCTCATCCCCAGCCAGTGGTGAAGTATTGGGAGGTCTGTTTTTGAAACGATTTAAAAAAATTCTAAGTCCCTCACACTGGTCACTCATGGAGTAAGCAACATTATGCAGAGTAGAGTAAGAAACAGTAAGTAAAAAAATATGAGTTATAAGGAAAAGAAACCGTAGAGAATGAGAGAGATGTCCTTGAAGAAAAAAATGTGGCAGTTAACAAAACATGATTTAAGCCCAGCAAAGGAAAAAAAAACATTAGAAAGAAACTGTGACCCTACCTTGACTCTGTTTGGTGTGTGTGTGTGTGTGTGTGTGCAGGGAAAACACTGCGAGGCTTTCAAGACTGATATCAGCCCTTCAAGGTAGACCAGGTCAAGAAACAAACTCCCTCAGAAACAATTGAACCCTTCTTTATTGACATAATATTGATATAATGCAATTGGTTTCACATTAATTTTGTTCGCCACCCAGAGTCACCAGCTGAGATGGGTGGCTGTACAAATGTAATAAACCAATAAACTAATATATCAATAATAAACAAACTCTTGAAAGCCTGACAGCCTTCCTCCTTCCTCCTTCTTATTCAGAGAGTATAAGATCCTGCCCAGCATCTCTGGAGCTCTCCAGGGAAGGAAGCTAGGAAAAAAACCCTTGCTGAATTAAAACAAACAAATAAAGCCGCCCGGGGACCCGCCAGGCTGCAGGTCTGACTCTGCCCGCCTGGTTCTCCTCGTGCCACGCCAGCAAGCTGGGTCCAGAGGCCCAGAAAAGTCTTCTGAGACCCCCCAGCTCTGTTCTCCAGCAGAGGAAAAACATCTCGGGTGGCCTTCTGGTCCATCTTCATGGCAGTTGCCACTTGATCTCCATCAGGATGAACCACCCTGAAAAACAAACAGTGCCTCCTCTCTGACTAGTTTCCTTCCATGTTTTCCCTGTTGGGGGAAAAAAGCTTGTTTTTGTTCTCTTTGCATAGTTGATTTATATAAAAATAGCAATCGCTGCAAAGGGGCAGCTTTTCTATTGTTATCAGGCCAGGCTATTTAATGATAAAATCAAATATAAATTTTTTAAAATTGCTTAATTCTTAGTGTTGATGAATCCATCCAGCCTTCCATCAAATGTGCAGAAGGAAGGAAAATATACATAAACCAGAGGCCAGTGCTGTCCTAACTGCAAAAACACACAGCAGATTTAAAATCCTATCTAAACTCTTCTGATGCCAAAAGGACAGTAAGGTAAGGGGATATGTGGAAATAAATTAAGCAGGTCCTGGACGCAGGTACAGGAAGCCTGCAATATAAAAAAGATGTTGTAGCTTGAGTCACCCAGCTTTCATTTTGTTTCAAAAACACAGCAAGGCTTTATGAACAAAAACCTGTTGTGCCTCTCAGCTCAAAGGACCGGCAGGTATGGATAACGCTCTGCCAAGGGCCCGCAGGTTGCCCACTCCTCTTTTTTTGTATTTCAAGTAGACTTCTCACCAATTCAGGGCTGGCTAAAATACCTTTTCCTTTTGATCTAAACGTTCACAATTGAGGAGAGCAGCTGCTCAGCTAAACTTGAAAATAATACAAGGAGCAAAGGGGGGTGGGATTTACTCCTACTCCTACTGTTGTTATTATCTATTCCCTTATTTTCTGAAGTCTCCGTAAATTCTACAAAATGATGAACTTTCTAGTTTTATGAACGGAGAAGCCCCAAACCCAAGAAATATTTATTTATATCCCACCTTCCTTCAGGACCTCAAGGTGGCTTACTATCTCCTCCCATTTTTCCCTACAACAACCCTGTGAGGTAAGCTGGGCTGAGTGACAGTGACAAGTCCCCCAGGGAGCTTCTGCGGCTGAAGCAGCTGGGCCTCCCTGGTGCCAGCCCAACTCCTCCCCTGATGTGCCACCCAGCTTCTCTAGCCAACATGCGAAGGAAGGCTCTGATTCTTGTCACGGAGTTCTGCCATTTTGCAGAAGTGTTTTGGTGCTGGGTGTGGGTTCATTGCCTCCAAGTCAGTCTTGACTCCTGACGACTGCCTGGACAAGTCCCTGCAGTTTTCTCGGCAAGATTTTTGGAAGTGGTTGGCCCTGGCTGAGAGGGAGGGACTGGCCCAAGGCCCCCCAGTGGGCTTTGCGCCTAAGGCGGAACTAGAACTCCTGGTCTCCTGGCTCCCAGTCCAGAATCATCATCCCTACGCCAAACCGGCTCTCTCCTTTGGTGAATGCCTTGCGTTAAACTGAAAGACAAGTGAAACTGAAATTCTGTGGCAACACAGCCGGGCACGCACTTCAGGACTTTGCAGGAAAGAAGAGAGGTTTTAATACAAAGATATTTACTCGCACGTTTTCATAATCTCACAAGGAATAGAGGCGCTCTCATTATGTCCTGCAATTGCACACATGCATCAATAAGGACAGGGGACCCAAACACGCACCTTTTTATCCAACTTCCTGCCGGCCATGCTGAGTGTGATCACCCGATTGTCCAATAACTCTTGGGCTGCTATCTGAAAAGCAAGAAATGAAACGGCTCATTCTTAGCAAACCAGGCACGTGAGCTATTTGATGAGTCCTAAATGCAGCAAGAGACACAGCAAAGCGTTTCCTCGGAAGAAAAATCCAGCAGCAGAAAATGAAAAAAAAAAAAGGACAAATTAAAACAGTCTGTTTTGAGCTGCCCTGGGTCTTTGAGAGTCAGGCAGCATACAAGTTTAATAAATTATGGTTGGTTACACAGTCAGCCAGATGTTTAGATGGGATTTGGCATTTTTTCCACCCGTCAAGTCCTTCCCAAGGACCTGGGATAGGTAGATGTTGTTTGATGGTGTTCAAGGTATCATCGCAGGACATAAGCTGTTCCAAGTAAAGCTGACTTTTGCAACGGACTGATGGTGATTTTGTCAATGCCGATGGTCTTCAAGTGATGCTCCAGATGTTGCACCTAAGGCACTTATTACTATTCGTCCTGTCTTTGCTTTCTTTTGACACAGTCATTCTATTTCTATTTGCAGGTCTTTGTATTTTGTGATTTATTATTATTTCCAACCTTCTTCAAACATGAGCATTATTGTTGATCCAGCAGGGAGGTCACATCCAGCTGCAGCCCTGGATGCTGCTGGCCTGGCTTTAATGTAGTCATTATAGATGAATGCAATCTTTAAAAAAATCTAAGAAATAAACCAACCAGTACAGGTAAATGGTTTCTTAGCTCAGCCTACCTCACAGGGTCATTGCTCTGGGGATCAAATGCAAGGAGGAAATGCTTTGTTTGCTGCTTGGAGGGCTCCTACTGTGTAAATAAATAAATTAATTAATATGTAGTTAAAATGGCACTATTTATCCAGCGCATTGGCAAGCTTGGAGGAAACCTAACATCTGTGGAATTGTGGTATGAGAAATATTTAGGAAAAAAAATCCCAAGATAAGGACTGACTGGCTTGGCACTTATTGAAAGAGAAATGTACTTTCAGACTTGCAGGACTGATGTCACCTTGTGAGGCAGTCCAGATAGGAAGCATGCCCAGATGAACTAATTCTACTTTATTGTAAGGTTACACTAGACAACCCGGGGTCTGTGGGGTCATCGTTTCAGAAATATTTCCTTACCTAAGCAGAGAAACAGAATGACCAAGGGCAAAGAAGCAGTGGGAGTGTTGCTGCTGGCTTCCCCATTGACTTTGCGTGTGGGAAGCTGGCAGGGAGTGTCAGAAATCCTTCCTTCCTTCCTTCCTTCCTTGCTGGGTGGGGAATTCTGGGAGTTGACGCCTACCCATCTTAAAGTTGCCAAGGTTGAGAAACACTCTCTAGAGGTGCCACCACACCTGGTATCCTCTCCTAACCCTGGTATGTGAAAGAGATAAGATTCTCATATACACCGTGCTATCCTTCTTGCAATTAAAAGGCATAAACTGAAAGAAAGGAAATCATTTCAATAATGCTACCTCGCAGCCACACTGCATAGAGCCGTGTGACAGGAGGTTCTTGTCTTGTTCTTATTCAGCTCTTCCTTTCCTCCATGGGAGATAGACCAATCTCCCAAGGTTAAACAAAAAAAATATTTTTTTTTAAAAAGACAAAATAAAAAGCCTTAACATTACAGTGGTACCTCGGGTTACGAACGCCTCTGTTAACGAACTTTTCGGGTTACGACCAGCTCTGGACGCAAAAATTTGCCTCGGTTTGCAAACTCCGCCTCGGGGTACAAACAGGATACGCGGCCATTTCCCCCCCCGTGACAGGGTCCACGGCCATTTTTCCGCCCCTGACACGTGGTCTGCAGCCATTTTTCCGCCCCTGA